GGAAGACATTTCTGGGCTCCTGGGAAGACATTTCTGGGCCCATAACCTTTTGTTAGTAATATTTGTTCGTTAAGTCGGATATATTGAGCCAGCAAGGATGTAAACGGGAGACGGACGAAACTTCTACACGTCTTTACCCCACGAAGACTACAGACGCACAACTGTTACATAAGGGACACACATGTCACACAAGGGATACACATGTTACATAAGGGACACACATGTTACATAAGGAGTAAAAACTTAGAGGGTCATTGGCAACAAGAACAAATAAACAGTGCCCTCGTATGTCACACTATACCTGTCAGAGGACCAGGAGACAAACCTCCCACCACGTGACAGCCACATGCCTTACAATTCTAAGTTATATCGTTATTCGAATTATAGTCCTTGAGACACGAATTTTTATATTTGTTCCTCAAACAACATTCCACTTAGTTTTGGAATCACTTTGTTTCTCAAGTCCGATTAGTCGCTCACCTGTTTCCAGGTGAAATTCGAAGCTCTCTCAGGTTCAAGAAAGGTCAACGCCACATTCCGATCAAAGATGTTTAATGATCTTTGAGGTTCAAATAGTTTGAATTATTTTATTAATTTATTAAAGCTCGTGGAGTTAAGGCTAGTATGGACCTCACATCATTGTGTACTAGTGCCACAAGTTACGAAATCATAAGAGAAAAGTTAAAATTTTATTTTAATATTTGTTTAAAAATGAAAATAAAATTTAAGCATATATATTTATATATTTATTTTTTATTTTTTTCTAGGGAAGATCCTCAATGATATCAAAACGCAAAATAAAAGCTTCTACAGGAAACATACTGTTTGATGCATTTCAAAGAAGAAAGGACGATTCGTATCTCAAGAAATTCATTCATGTATTTTGGCCATTAATTACGTTATTGAAAATGTATGGTTTAAATATAGAACAAGATAGAATTTCTTGTTATAGTGTGTTTGTAACATTTCTTGTATTTATTCGAATTTTAATTGCAGTGGCAAACGAGATAATGTACGTAATGAAACATCAGCGATTGGTAATGATTATAGAACATGGTTGTGAACTTATCTCTATAATTAGCCCCTTTATTTCTTTCATACATTTTCATTCTTCACGCAAAAAGCTCAAAAATATATTTCGGTTGTTAGATTCTTCGCTGTATAATAAAAAACTAAGAATATGGAAAAAAGAAGGATTTTTATGTCTTTTGGCTATTATTTATGGAATTATATTGACATTACTAAGAATATTAGATTTAAGAACTTACGATAGAGATGTTTATTTTGAAAGATATATGTTCGATGTAGACATAACACAGTTATCAAATATGACATGTGATGGTCTTGTTATTGCTGATTTCTTAACATATATATGGATAATTGTTGTACCGAAAGTTCTATTTTACGTTCTATTTTCATCACTTTGTAATTTCATTAAGATAGAATTTCTATCTTTCAATAAGTGTATACAAAATTTGCAAGAATGTACTTGTTCCAGAGGAAAAATGATCAAATTGGCTTATCATTATATAAATGCATGCGAAGCAGTTTTAATAATTGATAACATTTATTCCTCATTACTATTTTGGTGGTTTGCTGGAGCATTAATTGATATCACGTTCTCATGTTTCGATATTATTGAAAAATCCGATTTTCTCGAAACTCTAGTTGAAAAAATATATTACGTTTCTATAATATTTTTCGAGAGCGCATTCTTTATCATCTTAACAGTTCAAGCATCAGATGTTACGTTAGAATCTCAAAAAGAGATTAATCAATTATTTAGGCTCTCTACTTATTCTATGAACTATTGCCCTGAAGATAGGGAAGCGAGTCGAATTCTTCTGTTGAGATGTAATTTACTACCGCCCCAATTTACAGCTTGGAAAGCTTTCTATATTACAAGATCTTTCATTTTTACTGTATTCGGATTAATATCTACATATTTGATTGTGTTATTTCAACTACAAGCACCTCCTGGTAACAAAAATTCAGAGGAAACTTGAATTCTTCTATTGAAAACATTACTTTATCTGCAATATTTTTGTAAATTTATACACACATATTTTACTGATTTATACAATTTTTAAAATTCGTATTATTTATATTTATTTTAATAAATTTAAAATAATAAAAATTGTGAACATATTATATTAAATCTGTACCGGTAAATATTGCATTCGCAACAAGAAATAAATTAAAATTTAAAAATATAATTTAAGTAATGTAAGATCATATAGAGTCAAATATAAAATTTAAAAAAATCTATGTTTTCAAAAAGTAATTATGTGTAAATGAAATACAAAGAAATAAATGAACCCAAAGATTAGCGTCCTTAATATAGTCTTGTAATTAATTGTATTAATAATTTGTATACAATACAAAATTTGTACATGAAAATGAATATAAATAAGGATTAAGAAATATTTTAATAAATATCCCTATTTAGTTATCTTAATTCTGTATCATTATCATTGCAACAAAAATGAAATCAATGAACATACTGTACTCATACGACTGTGCAAAGTGACTAGGGAACCCAATGCAAGGGATCCAAGAGACCTTTTGTTTATATCGAATCAGGAGTAATAAATACACGTATTTAACATTATATTGTATTTAATGTATATTATAATGCATTTAAAACAATATATAAACAATATATAAACATATATACAAATTTGTTTTAAATTAATGGTTTCATTGTATAACCATTATATTTTTATTCCGTTTATTTATTTTTCGCATAAAAGATAAAAAGAAAATTTATATTTAAATTTGTATTTTGTATCAAAAATAACCATGATACATCAAAAGTTTTTTGTATGAGTAGAAAGACTGTTATATCTTTAAGAAAATAAAACAAAAACTAAAATCGAGGAACTTGATTTTATTAAAAGAGACATTATTTATGAAGTAAGAATGGTAAATTTGCATTTTTTTTTGTAATCTCTGCAAATTTGCAATATATACAGTATATATATATTTCAGTAGGATCACAAACATAATTATAATGTCTAAGAAAAGCAGTTAACTAATTATTGAAAAGAATTCTCAAATTATTCGTATTTTACCGATTTTTGCGCACGGAGATAAAATGTCCTGATAATCAGAATCAATATTATTAATAACCATCCAGATAACGGCCTGATGAGCATGCAGTTTAAGTGGCAGCCTACCGCTCTGAGTGATCTGGGATTGAATCCAGACTAGTCGAAAAATCCATGAATTTTTCAGGAGAAAGTCCGTTCTGTTTCTCACCATTCGGCCACTTCATTTATGTTCTAACCGAACTTATTATGAGTATAGAAATAAGGTCCTCGTAGTGCTCAATGAGCAGAAAAAAATAAAAACTAAAATTACTGTATTATTAACGCGTTTGTGAAGTTTTTCTGGTGTCTGTTTAACGCATGTTAGTGCTTTTTTTGCACTCTTGTGTAGCGTCATTTGAAAATTTCAGCTACTGACAAAGTTTTAGGTTTAGTTGAAAATTTTGTATTCTGTGAAATTTTGAAACTTTACCATTTTGCATTTCTCGACGTTTTAAGATCTGATTTCAAAAATTCAAAACAAAAAAATTAAGGAACAAAATTCTGTATATATTTATGTATATAAATGAATTAATTAATTCAAAATTAATTTTTAATTATTAGTCTTAACACAGGATAATGAAAGTCTAGCTTGTAAATTGAAGTTTATTACAGAAATTAAAAATCACACAAGTTTATTTGGAAATGCGTTATCTAATCTTTAATTTAAATAAATATTAAGAGAGAATTTTGCTAATTTAAGAACATGTCCAAAATTTCTCGCCGTTTCAAAATCGAATGCTCGTCCAACATCGACACAATTTATCATATAATTTAAATTAAAAGGTAAGCTCATGAGCCATTCTTTTCGGTCGATTGTTCAATTTAAATAAATTCACATAAGGAATTATTTTTGTAAAAATTAAATAAACGAATATTTTTTTTTATCGGGAATATTTTATCAATTATTGGCCGCCAGATAAGTCGAGGAATTTTTCTCAAATTTGAAATTAAAAAAGAATTCCTCAAAAGAACAATTTTATTATATTTTATTTAATTCATGTTTAAAAGTCGAAATACAAAATTCTTCTAATAATTTTGTTATTTCTTTCTTTTCTTTTTTTATAAATTATGTATAATTTCTTTGGCAGAACTATTTCTTGTTCAAAATAAAGTGACACTGACACATGACCATTCAAATTAATTACAGTATAAGTTAATATAGCGATTTTCGTGTTTTAGCTGATGTAGGTCAGTGATGAGCAACCTTTTCTTGCTGCGTGCTGCAAGTGAACTTCGTAAACTTCCAACGGTTCGCTTGCAGTTTTTCTTACGAAGTTTCAGGCTTTAAGCTTACTAAATACCAACATACTTCATAACTACTAATATGCTATGTACTAAAATAATATAAGCAAATGATATGCATATTAGTAATATATAGTTTGTGGATAATGAAGTTTAGTTAGAATGTTTTTCATCACGAATATCAGCGCAACTAGGGTTACATAATTTCATAAAACAGAGAAAAACATTTACGTTGCCAATGTCCAAGGGGCCGAATGAGACCTGTGGGTTGCTCACGGCTGATATACATGTTAAATTTACATTTACGATTCCCATTCTGAATGATTGTTCATAAATTCGTAACGCATTTTTTACAGTTTTCAATTACTATCTCATTCCCTGTAACGCTCCGTAACGCTGACGCATATACTCCAAAATCATTCTCCAAAATTACGTAAAGCATATCCTTTACCTCTCTTAATTATACTAAGTAATAATACACAGCACGGGTACCGAATGTTGTATTATTTTATTAATTACGGGTAGTGTATAATGTACAAAGAAGCGACTTAACAATACGGTTCACTATGCAACACTTCAGAAACAAAGATAAATTATTCTCTTACCCAAGTGTTGATAAGAGCATCTACTGAAGTTTCACTATTGCCTTCTTTACAATAATCTGGAACTTCTACACCAGTTGTATCCACATGTTCCTTATTAAACCATTCATAATCTTCTATTTCTTCTAAAATTTCTTCTATTTTTTCAACAAATTCCGTCACGTTTATGCAATGTGTTTATTGAGTTGATCTATTTTAATCATGTTTTTATTTTGTCTAAACAAATACTAACTTTGTATTTTGTAAATTTTGTTTTCATATTGAAAATGCCAAATGTGCCAAATACATTTATGATTCAATTTGCTAAGATCAATTTTAGAATCAATAAATTTCGACATTCAACTACATACAAAAGCTTTTTATAAATTAAATTTGTTTATTAATAGGTTTAAAANTAACCATTATATTTTTATTCCGTTTATTTATTTTTCGCATAAAAGATAAAAAGAAAATTTATATTTAAATTTGTATTTTGTATCAAAAATAACCATGATACATCAAAAGTTTTTTGTATGAGTAGAAAGACTGTTATATCTTTAAGAAAATAAAACAAAAACTAAAATCGAGGAACTTGATTTTATTAAAAGAGACATTATTTATGAAGTAAGAATGGTAAATTTGCATTTTTTTTTGTAATCTCTGCAAATTTGCAATATATACAGTATATATATATTTCAGTAGGATCACAAACATAATTATAATGTCTAAGAAAAGCAGTTAACTAATTATTGAAAAGAATTCTCAAATTATTCGTATTTTACCGATTTTTGCGCACGGAGATAAAATGTCCTGATAATCAAAATCAATATTATTAATAACCATTCAGATAACGGCCTGATGAGCATGCAGTTTAAGTGGCAGCCTACCGCTCTGAGTGATCTGGGATTGAATCCAGGCTAGTCGAAAAATCCATGAATTTTTCAGGAGAAAGTCCGTTCTGTTTCTCACCATTCGGCCACTTCATTTATGTTCTAACCGAACTTATTATGAGTATAGAAATAAGGTCCTCGTAGTGCTCAATGAGCAGAAAAAAATAAAAACTAAAATTACTGTATTATTAACGAGTTTGTGAAGTTTTTCTGGTGTCTGTTTAACGCATGTTAGTGCTTTTTTTGCACTCTTGTGTAGCGTCATTTGAAAATTTCAGCTACTGACAAAGTTTTAGGTTTAATTGAAAATTTTGTATTCTGTGAAATTTTGAAACTTTACCATTTTGCATTTCTCGACGTTTTAAGATCTGATTTCAAAAATTCAAAACAAAAAAATTAAGGAACAAAATTCTGTATATATTTATGTATATAAATGAATTAATTAATTCAAAATTAATTTTTAATTATTAGTCTTAACACAGGATAATGAAAGTCTAGCTTGTAAATTGAAGTTTATTACAGAAATTAAAAATCACACAAGTTTATTTGGAAATGCGTTATCTAATCTTTAATTTAAATAAATATTAAGAGAGAATTTTGCTAATTTAAGAACATGTCCAAAATTTCTCGCCGTTTCAAAATCGAATGCTCGTCCAACATCGACACAATTTATCATATAATTTAAATTAAAAGGTAAGCTCATGAGCCATTCTTTTCGGTCGATTGTTCAATTTAAATAAATTCACATAAGGAATTATTTTTGTAAAAATTAAATAAACGAATATTTTTTTTTATCGGGAATATTTTATCAATTATTGGCCGCCAGATAAGTCGAGGAATTTTTCTCAAATTTGAAATTAAAAAAGAATTCCTCAAAAGAACAATTTTATTATATTTTATTTAATTCATGTTTAAAAGTCGAAATACAAAATTCTTCTAATAATTTTGTTATTTCTTTCTTTTCTTTTTTTATAAATTATGTATAATTTCTTTGGCAGAACTATTTCTTGTTCAAAATAAAGTGACACTGACATATGACCATTCAAATTAATTACAGTATAAGTTAATATAGCGATTTTCGTGTTTTAGCTGATGTAGGTCAGTGATGAGCAACCTTTTCTTGCTGCGTGCTGCAAGTGAACTTCGTAAACTTCCAACGGTTCGCTTGCAGTTTTTCTTACGAAGTTTCAGGCTTTAAGCT